AAGCCTGTATCCTTTGGTCCTAAGTTGAGTGTTTACCAGTGAGGGGCACCGTAGAGAAGGTCCCAGCAGCCCACAGCAAGTTAAGCTTCTACAACCTCTACTTCTTTGTTCCGAAGAAGGATGGCTGTCCCAAACCCATCCTCGACCTGAGACGTCTGAACCATGCCTTAATGAAATTGAAATGAAATCAAAATGCTAACATTGAAGCAAATCCTCTCTCAAATTTACCCAGGGGATTGTTTTTTCTTTGTGGATTTGAAAGATGCTTATTTTCATATCCGCATAGCCCCCCATCACAGACTCTGGCTTACCAATATACTGTCCTTCAGTCTCTGGCACCTTGAACATTTACAAAGTATGTGGACGCAGCCCTCTTCCTCCTGCGACAGAGGGGAGTGTGCGTCCTGAATAATCTCAGCGACTGGCTGGTTTTGGACCAATCTCAGGTCTCACCCGTTTTACAAGTTAGCGAGGCACATCCTATTGTTTGCACAGCACAATGTCCGCTTTGTGAGGGCAGTGCACATGCCAGGCACACTGAACCAGTGAGCGAACATGCTGTCCCAGAGTTGAGTGTCTAGAGAAGAATGGAGACTCCACCCTCAGGCGGTTCCGAAGATTTGTAGCATCTTCGAACAAGTGGAAGTCAACCTTTTTGCCTCGGAAGAGAACTCTCACTACCCAGTGTTCATTTCCAGGGAATGGACCCGCTAACCCACGAGTGGCCGAATTTGCATCCTTATGCCTTTTCCCAAGCAGTTCTGCTCCCTCAGCCCATCAGATGGATCAGGGAGGACAGATGCTTGATACTGTTAGTGGCCCCACTCTGGCGGAACCAAGCTTGGCCCCCAGAGGTGGTACAGCTGTTGTCAGCAGCACCCTGGCCAAACCCTCTGAGGAAGGACCTTCTCTCCCAAGTGTAAGGAACGATTTGGCACCCCCAACCCAAGTTGGGGAGCCTTCATCTATGGCCCCTCAATGGGGATCTGGATCTCTCGCAAGGTATTATAAACATCATTGCAGAGGCCAGAGTGCCTTCCACTAGATGGCATTACGCTCTTAGATGGCCTGTTTTTTTCTGACTGGTGTGTAGCCAGAGAAATAGGCCATTTCTCTTGCAATGTTGTGTCGATCCTGACATTTTTACAGGAGTTGCTAAAGGTATATCATCCACGCTAAAGGTATATGTGGTGGCTATCATGGCCTACCATGCCCAATCAGTCAGAAGGGATGACCTAATAGTCAAATTCCCGAGGGGGGGCTACGAGGTTAAAGCCAGCTCACCTCCACACAGTCCCAACCTCGACACTGTCCACGGTCCTCAGAGGCCCTCTGTCCGAGCCATTTCGGATGGCTAAACTGAGGACCCTTTCACTCAAGAGAACACTCCTATTGGCTTTGGCATCGGTCAAGCAAGTGGGAGACTTGCAAGTGCTCTTAGTGAACGCTTCCTGCCTTCAGTTTGAGCCCAAAGAATGTAAGGCCATCCTCAAGCCAAGGCATGGCTATGTACCTAAGGTGCTTTCCACTCCGTTCAAGGCACAGATGATAACTCTCTCTGCTCTCCCTGCTGAGCACTCTAGTCAATTTTGGCAATCAGAGTAGCTCTTTGTGTGCTTTGGGGCAGCACTAAATGGCATTCTGCACCGACTTACATAAGCAAATGGCTCTGACCGTTTTTGTGCAGGTGTACAAACGAGACTCAATCAGAATTTCGGAGAAACTGTGTTTCCCCATAACGTTGCAAACTAACACAATGCTTGTTCCTGTTATGTCAGGGAACCAAGGTTACTTTAGTAACCGAGATGTTATTGAAGTTAGATCATAACTAACTAACATGTCAGACAAATGTAGTATTAACTGCTTTTGGATATCATACAAAGTGGATATCTTTTGATGGGATCTGCTAAAGTGATTGAAGCTAACATTCCTCATGTGTCAGCCGGATCCAACACAGCATTATGTATTAACATCTCTAAAAATGCAGGCTTTACACTAGATTTATAGATTCACACACTTGTATCAAAATTGTAATTTGACGTTATAAATAAATCTAGAACAATTTGAATAAAATTACATATATTTTTTAATTTTGTAAATTTCCATGGTTGTGCTGCTTATCACCTGCAACTGCTCCACAGTTTGAGAACCACTGAATGAAATGATAGACAAAAGAAACACAACAGTGATGTGGGATGCTTTCATAGTGCTTTATTGGTGCAACAGCAAGAAAAAGAGAATCAAGTATAATCAAGCTTTGAGTTTTCTGTTAATAATGACTGATTACTTTGAGGTTTCTGTTAATGATTGAGCTCCTCTGTTGCTGCAGTGACAGATTATAAAGTACATGTACGGATGGAGCCGTCAACACACACGACCCACAGCACTCCCAGGTCAAAGCTCACATGCTGGTGGCCATTGGGACAGGCAATTATTTGGATCCACTTTACGCCAGCAGGGTTGGAGCGAGTGATGCCAGCTCTGCAATAAACAAAAATGAAGGTTTCTTGAATGCAGAATTTGATTTACATTAAAAAAATGTGCATGACAAGTCATTTTATTGATACAACTTTGTAATAGACTATTATGCCTGTTCAGCTTACGTTTGGTATAAGTTCCCTTGATAGTTGATACCAAACACACTGCCATCAGTTGCTACTTCAATCATGGACAGAGATCCAGAAATAGTCTCAAATTCGCCAGACCCAGAACAGACATTATTAGACACATTCTGCACATGACAAAAAGAGACACAAACCACTCAGTCATAGTAAGGTCACATCAAAAACATTTAATTCTTCGGTTTCTTTATTCAGTTTTGACAGAAAATCAAATGCATGCATGATATCTAATTTATTGTTGTACTTTTAAAAATCTGGTGTACTTGAACTTGTTTTCAAACTTTAACATTATTTAACATTGTTATTTAACATTAATATGTTAAGTATTTAACATTGTGACATTACCCTTATGATGAAGATATAGTCATAACTGCTCACTCCCCAACAGCTGTACGGGCCACAGCTGTAATACTTCAGCTTTCCATTAATTTGAACCCAAGGAGTGGTGCTGGATGGCCATTTGTTGTTAGCATCCATATTTAAACAGAATATGTCATCATGCATATTGACACCTGCAATGATCTGATCACCTCCAGCATCCACCTGTTTGAGAAGCCCTAACAACACAATCAACAGGTTCGATGAAAGATTAATAGGGACCATAAACAGCAAGATTATGTCTTTGGGACTGTGACTCAACTATTTTAAAATGAAAACGTAAATTGACTGGTTAAACTTGTCTTTTGTCTTAATTTTGCTCTCTGTAACTCTTCATCTGGAAACTGAATGAAGGAACCACTCTGAAACTTGAAGATGTTGTTTGCTGAATCCACCCCTAGCTGACCAGCAGGACCAACACTGAAGTGATTTAGAGACATATTGATCTTTGTGAAGATGTTATCCTCCAGGATGAACACTTCATTAAGATTGTTCACTCCAACCACTGAGCCAGACCCAGCATCTATCTGCTTCAGGTTACCGCTCATCATGGCACAGTCTAGAGCTGGGCATCAAAGGGCATCAAAGCTTCTTTATTCCTGGAAACAGAGTAATTGTTCCAATAGCTAAGCCTGGGAAAGACTATTACTATAAACTAATTGCACTAACTAACATCAAACTTATGTAAAATAATGGAAAGAACGGTTACAGCTAGACTAAATTACATTACAGAAATTAGAAGTTGTTTATGCTCACATCAAAATAGTTTTAGAAAAGGTTGCAATACAATTGATTCTAACATATACTTAGAATCAGAAATCAGAAAAGTATTTATGAATACAGAAGTGTTAGCAGCATGAAAAAAATCATACAATATTTTGTAGAAGGAACGTCTTTTTTGGCTAAATTGAATAAAATGGTTGTTAAAGGAAGGTTATGTAATTGACCCTTCGCAAAGACCCGCCCCCCTTCATTACTGTTGCTATGTCCGACAAGCCATGGTGCTCTCACGCCACACATCATGTTCTCAAATACACCGCGGAGCAAAGAGGACACTGACAACACGTCTACAGAGCAGGTTACTTTAGGTATGGAACAAAGTCTCAGCTTTCAAATTTTTCCATTTTTTAAGAAATTCTAACAATAAATACCGTTTTGTGGCTCTTTAATGTGTCGTCACAGATTGCGGCACGTGAACCGATTATCTCTTCCTCTTTAGAGCATGAAATAACATGAAAGAAACATCAGAAGGTAGTTGTTTCAACCCGGAAAGACGTCAATATACACCATTTTTCAAGTTTAAGTCCACTGATGTTAATCTACTCTCCTGTCTGGTTTGTTAATCAGATTATGCGTTACGACTGGTCAGATCACCTGTCAATCCAACTCCCTGCGAAGGGTCAGTTGGATAATGGATTTCCTATTTAATCGAACAATACAGGTCAAGCTCAGATCATGCTATTCAAATATATACAGTATCTCACAGGAGTACACCCCTCACATTTTTGTAAATAATTTTATTATATCTTTTCATGTGACAACACTGAAGAAATGACACTTTGCTACAATGTAAAGTAGTGAGTGTACAGCTTGTATAACAGTGTAAATTTGCTGTCCCCTCAAAATAACTCAACACACAGCCATTAATGTCTAAACCGCTGGCCACAAAAGTGAGTACACCCCTAAGTGAAAATGTCCAAATTGGGCCCAAAGTGTCAATATTTTGTGTGGCCACCATTATTTTCCAGCACTGCCTTAACCCTCTTGGGCATGGAGTTCACCAGAGCTTCACAGGTTGCCACTGGAGTCCTCTTCCACTCCTCCATGATGACATCACGCAGCTGGTGGATGTTAGAGACCTTGCCCCACAGATGCAATAGGGTTTAGGAGACATGCTTGGCCAATCCATCACCTTTACCCTCAGCTTCTTTAGCAAGGCAGTGGTCGTCTTGGAGGTGTGTTTGGGGTCGTTATCAAGTTGGAGTACTGCCCTGCAGCCCAGTCTCCGAAGGGAGGGGATCATGCTC